ACATCTGCTCTCTTATTTCTCGTATCTCCTCTTGCTCCTTAATGGACACATGATCTCTAGGTGCATAGCTCTCTTCTATCCTCGGAGTTCCCTCGGGATGTCTTTTCTTGGCCGCATCATATTTTGTTTGATCATAAAACTTTTTGTCCATTTACGATTTCTTTCCAATACGATGAACAGTCTTTCTAGTAAACACCTTTTTGGTTATGTTATGATCATACAATGCAAACAAAAGAAATGAGAAAAAATAAAATAGTTAGTACCAACTAATAAAAAATCTATCTATCAAGGTATAAATCTTAACCTCATGCTTTCTAGTTCCATGTTTTGTTAGGAAAAATTAACCTAACCTCATGATTTTTAGTTCACAAGCATTTATTCAGAAAAAATAATAAATTAAAAAGTAAAACTTATTTCTACTTTGTGTATACCTATGGAAATGGTTTCAGTATTGTCTTAGATTAGGAGAATTTCTAGGGTTTATTATATGCAGGTTTTTAGTTCTAGGAGTAAAGATACTCGAACTATCCCTGTTGATGCCCCCTTAGGCTGTTAACCCTCAATCCTAGTCCATCACAGACTAAAGTGGATCGAGTTCAATTCGAGGGGATACATTTCTCTATGCCTGACACGGAGAATAAATTCTCACGAAGACATAGAGCATATGAACCCCAAAAGTTACTTGCTAGGTCTGACACGAAGAATAAATTCTCACGAAGACGTCGCTTTCACTTCCACTTAAAAGGGACAAACTCAATTATAGAGCTTTATGTTATGCAAGTGTTGTGTGTGAGGAGAAATGTTCAAACCTCTGACAGAAAAATAAATAATAAAATACTTGCAAATAATGAAATATTAATAAGAAAATATATAAATACTATGAAAATAATAAATATATAAAAAATTTGAAAAGAAAGAATTATAAATCAAATATATGAATTTTTTTAATTTATAATTAATAGAGACAATTTATAATTGATTTTAAAAGTTTGACCAGTCCCCAGCAGAGTCGCCAAGCTGTCGTAACCGGTTTTCGTCCGGGCACGAAATATTTACTTGACGGGAAAAGTGATGTGAATAAATGGTTTTGAAAATAATTTGGGAGTCGCCATCGGCCTTTTGGGTCAGGTAGGTCGAATACCTAAAAAATATATTTTAAAAGAGTTTTTAAAAAAATATCAATTAAAAGATAAACTGATCTGCGTTTTAACCAAAAATTCGTTTTTTTTAATAATAAAAAGAGATTCGTGGTCGGTTACGTTTAGGGAAGGATTAGCACCCCTACAACGCCCAAAATTGGTACTTTTTAATTATAAATTATCTCTATTATTAGAAATTTAAAAATTCAAAATATATTTAATTCATAATTATGTTATTTCAAATAATTTAAAGAAAATATATTAATATGTATAAAATATTTATTTATTTAGAAATATCAGAAAAGAGCTTATAGGTGCTTTAAGACAGCTCTTTTCTTCGATATTAATAAATAACTAAAAAAAACATTTTTTCTAAAAAAATAATTAATATATAATTTATAAAAAAACATGATATTTATTTATTTAAGAATATCAGAAAAGAACTTCTAGGTGCTTTAAGACAGCTCTTTTCTTCGATATTAATAAATAAATATTAAAAATGTAATAATTTTTCATAAAAATGATTTAAATAAATTATAATTTTTATAATATTTAATATAAATATATTTATAAGACTAAGATAATAATAAAATAATAACTAAAGCCATAATTAAAATATAAAAGTGATAACAAAATAATATTGTAATTAAATAATGATCAAAATAAAAGAAATTAAAATTATAAAACTAAATATAAAGTATCAAAAATAAAGATAATAATTTGAAATATTATGAAAGATAATGGTTAATAGCGTAATTTAACCTAATTAATTAATACGGGATTAAAATAAAAAATACTAAACTATAAGGGACTAAATTTGATATTTACCTAAATATATTATTTAATACTGGTAAGGACTAAAACATAATAAAATAAAATTCAAAAACTGAATTAAAATGTTCAGTGACTAAAATGAATAATTATAAAACTTGGATGGCTACGGAAAGGGTTTAGCCATGCGCGAAATTACATATATACCCCTCCCAAAACGACGTCGTTTGAGGAGGGGTATAAATCCCCAAACGGCTGGCCCGAAGGGCCAGCTCTCTCATTCTCCTTTCTCCCTTCTCTCTCTCAAACGAGAGAAATTTTTTTCTCTCGCTTCTCTCTAAGTTTCCCTCGCCGGAGGGAAACCGGCCACCGTTCGCCACCTTGTTACGGCTCCGATCGCCACCGCCGGCCGCCGTCTCCGGTGGCCGGAGATTACCAAATTACACCAAATTAAGGATTTGAGCTCTCAAATCCGACCTCCTCTTACCCTAAATCTCCTTAGATTGACCTAGATCTAAAGTTTTTTTTTTTACCTTTGACTCTCGGCTTTCCGACGGCACGAGGAGGCTCCGATGACTGCAATTTCCTCGGTAAGTTTCTCTCTTCTCTTTTCTTTCGATATTTGGCTCTTGGGTTGTTCTGTGTTGGCTTGCTGTGGTTATCCCTTCCTTTCGTTTTTTTTTTGTTTTCTGTCCTCTGTCTCCCCTTTGTTTTGCAGGATCCGGTGGCTTTTATAGCCACCACCGAGCCATGCTCGGGCCGGTCTAGAGGGGGAAGTTCGGTGAGTCACCGAGCTATGTGGTGACTCACCCTATAGCCGTGACATGTGGGGAGCAGCTAGCCTTCTGGAGGCTTCTGGCGAGGGCGGCGTTGGTGGTGGCGACAGCGGCTGCCGCGTGGTCCCTAGGGTATCATAACCCTAGGGTTTCTTGTTGTAAAACTTTGGACCGTTGGATATGGCAAGATCCAACGGTGGAGATCGTCTGGCGGCTGGGGATGAGATGGAAACCCTAGAAGGGTTCTGCTAGGCCTGGACTAGATTGGGCCGGTTTTGGTTGTGTAAAACGGGCCTGATTATTGGGCTCTGGGTTTTGTAATTATTTATTAAATAATAATAATATATAATATTAATATTAATAAATAATAATAATTATTATAATAATAATAATTATAATAATAATACTAATAATAATAATTTTAATAATAATAACAAATTTAAATGAAAAAATTGATGTCTACAATACCAATGCACTAAGAATACGTATTCATATTGAATTGAATTTATACAATCTAATTTTTGGTGGTATATTGTTTGTATATTGAATTTTGATTTTTACTTCAATTGTACCACTAGACATTTAAAATTTAATCGGTGAGATGACTTGAATAAAACAATGTCGTTTTGAAACGTATATTAATGATTAAAATGATATCGTTTTAGATACTAAACTTTAAGAGTAAGATGGCATAGACAAAACTACATCATTTTATAAGAAAGTAGTACGAACCTCTTCTATCGTGAACATTCTGCACATATCAACATTCACTTCTGGAATAATAACCAGTTAGGGATGGGCATGGCTCTCGGACCCGACGGGTTTCGACCCGACCCGGTTGGGTCATTTTAAAAAAAAGAAACGGGTTCGATTCGGGTCGGGTTTAGAGTTAAAATACTCGATCAGACACAATCCCAAAAAATATAAATTTTACCATATATATTTAAAGATAATTATAATAATACCCCTGGATGTATTATTTTTTTCAATTAAATCCCTATTTTTATTGAATAAAAATAATATTTTTAATAAATATATTTTTTCGAATCGGATTTGAATTTTATCTCAAAAAATTGGGCCGGGTTCAGATCAGGCGAAAAATGTAAAATTGTTTGGTCGAATCAGGTTGATCAAAATTAGGGGTGTTCAAAATTCGGTTTTAACCGAATTAACTGATCGAACCGAATTAGTTTGGACAGGGAACGGTTAAAGATTTTTTTGGAATTCGGTTAACAGTTAATTCGGTTCAAAATCGGTTAATTAACCGAATTAACCTTTAAATATAATTATATTAAGAGACTTAGCCGGCCCAATCCATTTAAAACCCATTTAAAACTTAAATTAATATTAATTAATTAAAATAACCTCAATACTAAATGCAAAATGTTTGAATTAAATTAATTAGATATTATTTAAATTAATTGTAAATTTTTTATTTTTTTAATTAAAAATATTAAATTCTAAAATTCTAAAAAAATTCGATTAACTCGAAAATTAACCGAATTAACCAAAATTTATTCGATTTGATTAATACTTTAAAAAAATCGATTCGATTAACGATTAAAAAAACTCGATTAATTCGGTTAAGAGTATTTCGGTTCGGTCGGCCATCGTTTTAACCGAATGAACACCCCTAACCGAAACCCTGCCCATCCCTATAACCAGTTCATTTATCTCCAATATCAAGTTGGGAGTTTCACTTTGGGATGAGGTGTATATATGTCGGTAAAATAACTCACGTCACATCACAAACATTATTAGCACCGTCCATTCAGGGAGGGAGGGACAGAACCAGAATTTTAATTTAAGGGTCAGATGTATCTAACAATATAAAATGATAGGGATAAAATCAAAATAAATTAAAATTTAAAGGTCTAAATGCATGTTTTTTCCTATGTATTTTTAATAATAAAAAATTAGAGGAGGATGGTCCACAGCCCCAGTCATGCACATGCTCCATCTCTGCCTCCACCCACAGTCCCCTACAACCTTTAATGCCACGATTCAAGATATTTTTCGACGACCATTAGCTCCAGCATTGATATTTCGATCACCTTATAAAAATCATTGCACACGAGATCGTTTAAATTATGGTTTCATTTTAGTTCCTATGGCGTAATGACTGGACCAGACATAATTAATGGTGACATATATATGGGGTTGCTACTATGATAAGTCCTTTAAATTATGTCCCGTGACGTCATTGCTTACACATTCTCCGATTGGCATTGGAAATGAATAGCTGACCAACAATTGTTCCTATAAATCGGATTGCGAGCTCTCAATTTTACGAAAAAATAACACGCTCGAGGGAATGGGAAAACCACATGTTTTGGTTATACCATATCCAGCACAAAGCCATGTCATTGCTCTCATGAATCTCTCCCAAAAATTAGCCAATCAGGCCATCAAAATCACCTTTGTCAACTCAGAGTTTAATCACAAGAGAGTCATTGATGCATTTGGCAAGAATGTCGCCGAAAACGGCTTACTACGGCTAGTTTCAGTACCCGATGGGTTGGAAGATGGGGAAGACAGGAACCAGATAGGGAAGTTAACTGAAAGATTAGGTCAGGTTATGCCTGGACACCTGAAGCAGTTGATTCATAAGATTAACGCATCGGATGAAGACGAGATTTCGTGTGTTTTAACTGATTTAAGCCTCGGATATGTAGTCCATGTTGCGGTGGGGTTGGGGATTCCGACGGCTGCATTTTGGCCGGCTTCGGTGTTTCAACTAGTGATTCTTCTTAGTATCCCAAAGCTTATTGACGATGGATGGATTGATGAAAATGGTATGACCCTGTCTTTATTTTTACTGGCATGTTGTTTAATGTTGTGAATGGAGAAAATAAATTTTGAAAGAGTACTTTTTCTCGGTCTTAGATGCCGATGATTTGATTGCATTTCGGAATAATCAAGAGTTAATGTGATAATATTTATGGTCGGACGCACACTTGTGACAATTTGCTGATTTGAATGTCCTTTGCAGGCACCCCACTTGTGAAAGATAAGATGTTTCAGTTGTCACCTACGACGCCTGCTATACACCCAACCAAATTCGTATGGTTCAACATCGATACCTCTCCTTCAACACAGAAAGTCATGTTCCATGCTTCATGGGCGAACAGCAAAGCTGTTGAAACAGCAGATTGGGTAGTTTGCAACTCAAGTTTGGAATTGGAGCCTGAAGGGTTCAACTTGGCTCCCAAAGTCCGACCCATCGGCCCGCTTCCAGCCTCCGATCGGCTCGGAAACTTGTCTGGGAATTTCTGGCCCGAGGATCCAACTTGTTTGCAGTGGCTCGATCAGCAATCGCCTGCTTCAGTCATATATGTTGCATTCGGTAGCTTCACGGTTTTTGACGAAATCCAGTTCCAGGAGATGGCTCTGGGGCTTGAACTCACCAACAGGCCATTTCTTTGGGTCGTCAGAGAAGATATCACAAAGGGGAAACACCATGCTTACCCACAGGGGTTTATCGAACGAGTGGGAGATCGAGGTAGGATGGTGAGTTGGGCACCGCAAGGAGCAGTGTTGGAACATTCTTCGATCGCTTGCTTTTTAAGTCACTGCGGGTGGAATTCCACCATTGAAGGCGTAAGCAATGGGGTTCCCTTCTTGTGCTGGCCTTACTTTGGAGACCAGTTCCTGAACGAGAGCTACATCTGCGACATCTGGAAGATCGGACTGAAGTTCGAAAGCGACGAAAGAGGGGTCATCGGAAAAGAAGAGATTAAAAGCAAGGTGGAACAATTGGTCGGTGATGATGATATCAGAACAAGAGCTGTCGAACTGAAGCGAAGGGTTACCAAAAGTGTCGGCGAAGATGGAAGTTCTGATCAGATGTTGAAAGATTTTGTTGAGTGGTTGAAATCGTAGATAGCAGCAACTACTTCAGAAATAGAGAAATCGAAACAAGTGAAGGAAACAATCATGGTTCCTTCTCTATGTGCCCACAATTGTGACTTCTTTGGTCCAGTGAAGCCAATAATTTATGTTTCAAAGATTTCCCTCAAATAATATGAATGTTTCACTTTCATCATACACCCACGTTTTAAATTATTATAAATTTATAATATCTAGATGATCGAATTTTTTATTATAAATTTATTTTCATGTTTTTTTGTTTTATGTGATTTTTGACGTATTCTTAAATTTTGTGGTATATTATGTTTTGTATAATTAATTATTGTGATTTAATTTAAAAAAGAATTAAATTTTGCTCATACAATATTATGATTTATTTAAAAAGGAAGTAAAAAAATAAGGTTAGAAGGACTTGCCGTTGTCGGTTGTGATTGTCGAATAATGACGAGAGGACATTGATAATTTCCATTTTTAGTTTTTTCTAAAAAAGAAGTACATTATTTATATGGAGCGGAACAAATTAAAATATATAAATATAAATTATAAATTTATTATATTATTATATTTTGTCACGATTTCAGTGGTGAAAAATATTTATATAAAACATAGTTATAAATTGGTATATTTTTGTTTAAAAGAAGTTTTTTTTATTAATTGTTTAAAAGAAGTTAAATTTTATTGAATAAGTTATATTTATTAGGGTAAACTGCGTATTTAGTGTATAAACTATCAATTTTGATTCATTTTAGTACCTAAACTTTCATTTTTTTCAAAAATCATACTTAACGTTTAATTTTCATTTTAGTATCTACCGTTAAAAACTTAACGCATTTAGTACCTTAGCTATCAGTTTTGGTCCATTTTAGTGCCTTAACTTTCAATGTTTTCAAAACTTAACGTCAAATAACGGAGTACTAAAATGAAACAAAAACTAATTTTTTTAGCGACGAGTACTAAAATGAAATAAAAACTAAATTTTAGGTATGTTTTAAAAAAAAATAAAAGTTAAGTATTAAAATAAACTAAAATTGATAGTTTAGGTACTAAATATATAATTTATCCTATTTATTAATAAGTTGATATTTTATTTTAGACACTTGACAGTTTTATGTGGTGGAGAAGCTGCGGTGGTTAATTATTTGGGGACCATCGAAGCATGGTTTTTAGAATTAGATCGGTTAACGAATCGGCCATGTTACTGGTTTATTGGTTCAATCGATCGAATCGGTCCGACCGATCGGAAGAACCGGACGACGTCATAATTATTTAAAAAATTAAATAAAAATACTAAAAATATTTAATAAAAAATAATTTTTTATATCACAAGTCATATTCAAAGCAAGTCATAACATATATAAATTAAAAACCATAAAATCAAGTGAAACAAAATGATTCAAATTAACTACAACATAATATTTAAGGTAAAACATATTAAATAATAAATATAATTATATAACTATAATTAAAAAATAAATTTGGGACTAAAAAAATCATAACAAAATGATATTGTTTGGTTTAATTTTTTTTTAAATAATCTCACATGGCTAAGAAACATAGAAGAGTATCTCAAAAGTCTAAAGAGAAAATATGAGAACAAAACAATCTCACATTGCTAAGAAACATAGAAGAGCATCACAACTAACTTCTATAAATAATAGAGGTAATTTAGCATTCAAAATCATGGAGCCTTTTGGTGAGCATTGAGTAAACTATTCTTTCACTTCAATCAAGCTCGAATTTTAGGCTTCAATTGAGCTTCTAATTTTTTTTTTTAGTTCAAGCCTTTTTGAGTTCAAGTTTCAATATTATATTTCGAGTTCGAGTTGAACTTGATAATTTTTAACTTGTGAGTTTGAGTGAAGTTGAGCTTACTTTTAAAGTTTTCAAGTTCGAGTCGAGTTCAGCAATACTCGAGTTCGACTTGGCTCGTTTAACAAACGACGTTTGGTTTATTTTATTTTTTTAAACAAAATTTCCGGTTTTTTTCGATTTTTTCCGGTTTTCAGCCGGCCCGGTTTGAACGGTTCAGCGGTTCTGGTCGGTTCACTAGTAGCGGTTCAACCGGTTTAGATTAAACCGAACTAGGCAACGGTTCCCGGTTGAACCGACCGATCCGGTCCGGTTTTCAAAACAATGCATCGAAGGCTTGGACTCTTCGTAAAGTTAAATCTCTTCCGCAGGCCAGTATCTTTTATTTCGAGAAATTATTAGAAGATCTCGATTTATTATGTTATCTGTGATCTTAATTAATAATAATTTTTCTTATTATTTTTTAAAGGTGAAACTTTACCTCTTTTTTATTTATAAATAAAAAGTTGATAATTATTTTAAAATTTATGACTCTCATTCACTGAGATCACAAATAACATGATGAGTAGAGTCCATAAAATAATTTGTTCTTTCGTTCATATATACCTAGCATACGTATGTACTACATAGTTTTCACTCGTGATCAATTTTTAGGGTAAACTATACACGCGGTACTTATTTTTGAAGCGTTTAGATTTTGGTCACCAAAGTTTACTTCATTCAAATAATTGAAAGTTTAAATAACATCATTTTTAGGATTAGATATTAGGTTTTCTTTCTTCAAATCATCTTGTATTCTTCTTCCTTTTATACTAGCGAAAATTTCCTTTTTTTAGTCCGTGATTCTTTCTTAAAGAATTATTCACGTTAAATTTTGGTATTTTTCTTTTACGATCGTTGTACATTGGTGTTATCGTACTTTCATCGTAACAATTGTTGATGCTATCATACCCTTTAATCATACTAACATAGTTATCGTCAAAGTCGTATTTGTATATTCAGTTTTTGCACTAGATCTTGATAGTATGTTCCGCTGCTTAGATTTTCAACACAGTAACGAATATCTTCATTTAATCTACCTTGCATTGCATGTAACAATCCATCAAGGGAAGTGAGCTCAAAGATATTCCAGGTTATGCCTCGACAGCTGAAGGAGCTGATACATAAGATTAATGCATCAGATGATATTTGCAGTCAATGCTGTGGCAGAGCCGGGGATTCCAATGGCCGCATTTTGGTATCACTTAACGGGTGATTTGCACGCAGCACCTTTTTATGGGTGAATCGCTTCATTCACTACTCAATTATCTCACTCTTATTTTGGTCACTAAAATTTAATTTTTTTATAACTTTCAAATAAATCATAATTTAATCAATCTAACTTTCAAATTTAATTTTTTTGTTATTTTTAATTATATATAAATAAAATAATAATAAAAATTTCATGTCAAAAAAATTATTAATAAATTAAATTAGAGTGATTAAAATAAGAGCAATTTGAAAGTTGAGTAGTTAAATTGAACATTTTAAAACTTTACTACCAAAATAGGAGTGAGAAGATAGCTGAGTGATGAATTATGTCATTTATCCGTAAAAAAAAAGTAGTGTCGTTAAGTTTTTAACGGTGAGTAGGGATATGCATGGGTCGAGTTGGATTTTTGGTCCACTCCACTCGAAATCCGACCCGACCCGCATAATATATACCCTCCACCCGACCCGAACCCGACCCGACGTTTTGAAATAAAAATCTGAACCTGACCTGACCCAAAATAATAAAAAATATTATTTTTATTCAATAAAAACATTGATTTAATTTTAAAAAAAATAATATATAAAGGAATATTATTGTAATTTTTTCTAAATATATAAGGTAAAATTATTTTTTTAATAGGGTCGGGTCGGTATTTTTCACTATAAACCTGAATCTTACCTTACTCGAATATCACCTTTAAAAAACCCGACCCGAACCGAACCCGAAATTTTAAAAAAAACTGAGCCGATCAAGTCGGAACCCGTCGGGTTCAGGTCCCATGCCTATCCCTAATGGTGAGGTATTAACATGAAACAAAAACTAAACGTTAAGCATGATTTCAAAAATATTATAAGTTTAGGTACTAAAACGGATAAAATTGATAGTTTAGATATTAAATGCGTAATTTACCCTAAAAATAAGAATCAAAATGATCCCGATATGGGGCAAAACTTTCGAGATAATGTTCTGAAAGAAATTAATTCACGAGCTAATGTACTCCCAAGATTAATTGCTCAAATATGGTGAAATCCACAGTGTTGGTCGTAGGTCGCCATGCACTCCGGGCGACCTTGTAGGTCGCCATGCACTCCGGGCGACCTTGTAGGTCGCCATGCACTCCGGGCGACCTACCCTTGCTTAAACAAAGAGAATGAACGTGAGAATGAACGTGTTGCATGGCACATGCACGTCCCAACACATAGGTCGCCATGCCCTCCGGGCGACCTTGTAGGTCGCCATGCCCTCCGGACGACCTTGTAGGTCGCCATGCACTCCGGGCGACCTACCCTCGCTCGGCTTCCCTCGCATAGCTCGCTCGGTTGCCCTCGCATAGCTCGTTTGGATGGCATTGGATGCTCTCGGATAGCCTCGGTCGGATAGCCTCGGATGCCCAGAATGTTGGGACGTGCATGGCACATGCAATCTCTTGTAGGTCGCCGGGAAGACATGGCGACCTAGTAGGTCGCCCGGAAGGCATGGCGACCTACGATCAACACTGTGGATTTCATCTTATTTGAGCAATTAATCTTAGGAGTATTTTATCTCGTGAATTAATTTTTTCCAGAACATTATCTCGAAAGTTTTGCCCCCGATATGGCAATACCAAAATAAGAATCATAATGTGTAAAGAACGAAAATGTAATGGTTATTCAACGAAATCTCAACACAAATTTCTTTTATTCAACACCAGAAACCAATTAATATAATATTGATAACTACACGCAATGGATTTTTCCCTTCTCTGGGAAATTTTTAAGGTTGTTTGGAAGGATAGAAAATCCGCCATTGAATGAGCAGATAGGCAGAGTATTCTTTTAAAGCAAAAGTCATGGATATCTGCAGCAACGGAAACAGGAAAACCAGCTTTGATTTCTACCCTTTTGTGGAGCTTTTGGTTTCATTTCTTCAGTGCATTGCTCCGGCTCCGGTTCCGGTTCTTTCTCTTGCGGTTGCTTTGCTGATTGTATATTTAATTCTTGGTTGTATTGGCGGATATTCACCGAGCTCATCCTTCCACCGTCGGTGCTATTCAACCTGAAACGATTTCACTGATATATTCATGCAACTTATAAGTAAAAAATGCAATCTTTTCAAGTGGAGAAAATGATGGTTTTGTTTTCGTACACAGGGAATGCAAAGGAAAAAGTGCTCTCATCAGAAAGACCGGAGATGCTGTCGTCATTGCCATCTTTGTTGTGATCATCATCATCCTCTGCAACTTCACTTGTTCCGACCACCGTCTTCGGCGTTTCTTCAGATCCCGAACAACCCTTGCCTGCATTTTCCTCCGCAGCCGCCATCTCTTCCAGCTCTTTTAGTGAAGGCATCGCGCCACCTTGGGCAATGATCTGCTCGTCCAACTCGGTTAACTCTCCGGATTTATACAATGAAAGAAACTGCTCCCTGGAGAGGCTGTTATTCCCGACATGAATGCTGAACAATGATTCGTTTGAAGCAATGCTCCACTCCGTTGGTGTTCCAGGTTGAGTACTGAAAATGGACGACGGTATCCGACTCCGTGCGCACCCTGCCGGTGCTTGTTCTGGGGACTGCTCGTTCGAACTAGTCGGCGGAACATTTAAAGGCGTCGATGACTCGACGAGTTCAGAATGTTCGAGGTTTCGGTTCCGAGGAGAAGATGAAGAAGAAGATGTTGGTGATGAAAAGCTTGCATGTCCTGAAAGAGGTTTAACTTCAACTCTACGATCAGTTCCCATTTTCTGTATTACAAAATAAAAACAACAATCATCACATAATTATAACAGAACACATATCTTTTCCGATATTAAATGAATCAAACGCAAATATAAACTCACTCAAAACTCAGATTTGTGATGAGAAAGATAACGAAGATGTGAAAGAATAAAGAGGAAAACTATCAACGGGCCATAAACAAAAAGATTTGCGTCAGAATTAGTGGGGCTGTTAAAAACCCTAAAAATGGAAGGCATTTCGAGTTAGGTTCTTAAAGATACTTTGGAAAGTTGTTAGTCCATCTTCTTCAACAAATTACAAAACCATATTAACCATTAACGACATTCCGTTCAATGAGAATTTTGAACCTAGTAGTTGATTTCTTGAGAATTTTGAGATTTTAGGTTAAAGTTTTAATTTATCATATGTGAGTGCTAATATTTATTTTGGTTTAGGTTTTGGGCTGTTCGGTTAAATATATTTTTATTATTATTATAATGATTGATTTTGGCTATAGTTATTTTATAGGGAGTTAATTGCGTCATATGTCCTTAAAGTATGATCCTCATTTTAAATTAGTCTTTAATCTTTCAAATGTTTCAATTTTATCCTTAAACTATGATTATCATTCTAAATTAGTCCTTAAACTTTTAAATATTTCAATTTCATCCCCAAACTATGACTTTCATTCTAAATTGGTCCCTAAACTTTTTGAATATTCCAATTTCATCCCAAACTATACGTATATACTAAGCAGGTCCCTTGTTAATAAAACCATTAGGCCAAGTTATACTATTATATGTTTGGAAAAGAAACAAAATTTAGGTTAAACCATGATTGAAACTAATTACATATTTGTATGAATTTGGGGATAAATTTGGAATATACAAAAGTTTGGGGACCAATTTAGAAAGAGGATCATAATTTAGGATCGGAATTAGAATGTTTAAAAGTTTAAGGACTAGTTAGGATGAGAGTCGTTGTTTGGGGATGGAGTTATAAAATTCAAAAGTTTAAGGACTAATTTAAAATGAGAGTTACAGGTTAGGGACATATGATACAATTAATTCTTTATTAGATGTATTATCGTGGATGTATTTGTAACCTTTTAAAGAAGACTATGAAAGGGAAAAGTAATGCATTAAAAGAAAAAGATTACATCCCATGCGCATTCATTTTGCTTATTTTGACATGAACGCACCATCTCAGACAAATTCATCAGGTTCAAGAATCTATATGGTATGAGTTCTTCAGTTTTGAGAAAGGCCAACATCTTGAGCACGCAATTCATGAATCTGCAACATCGAATAACACAATAAATAACTTGAAAAAAGAGAGAATAAAACTACTCATGTCGTATAAACTTCACCGATCAAAATTCTAAACAGATTATCATTACCTTGGTTTGATTTATACTAGGTGGTAACAGTAAACCTCCAGCTTTCCTGTTTCTTGCAAGAATACCTTTTGTAACAGGCGACATCATGGAATCAGTCGGACTTCTGTACCTGAATCAAACCAGAAAATAAACAAAGAATTCACACAGAAATTCATGAAACAGATAATGATTTTAAACCTAATATATATATATACTATTTAGAGTTACGTAATATATACCTTCAGGGGCCTTGGAGAGTTTAAGCCTATCTGGGGTGCAGGTTTTCCGCAGATATTTGCCCGAATCTTGAGGATTCTCATCGAGTTTCTGGTCCTGGAGTGGTGGGGTATTCTCCAATCCACCATTTTCAGTCTGAATCGAACTGTTAAGAGGCTTTTCGATCACTTGCTCCACCATTTTAGAGCTTGTATTTTGCAAAACCTTGCCTGAATCTTGAGGATTCTCATCGAGTTTCTGGGCCCGGAGAGGTGGGGTATTCTCCATTCCACCATATTCGGGAAGAGTTGAAGTGTTAACAGGCTTTTCCATCGCTTGTTCCGCCATTGAAACGAGATCAATAAAAAGGTTTTATAACAAAGACGTGGATTTAAGTGGGGTTGAAGAAATGGGTTGATTGAATTGAAAGCTTTGAATTAAATTGTGAATTTATATGTATAAATAAAATGGAAAATCGGGAGGGATTGCAACGGTCTAATTTTGAGGTGGCCTAGTAGCCGTTGAGATTTAAAATAACATTGCGGCTATCTTGGTAATATCCATTCTTTTTTTCCTTTTGTGGTGGTGAGTGGTGATTTCCATAATCTATAAATCTAGACTTAACGATCCTGTTTTTGGATTTTATATTAATTTTAATTATATTATCAAAATTCAAAATATAAAAAAATAAAAGATAAAATACAAATTTCATCACTAACTTCCTTCCTACACTTGTTTTATTCATAAAAATTTGATTTACTCTTATTTGACCACTCTTCCATTAAATTTGATTGAATATTTTTCTTTTAAAAATTAAGAAACGATCTCTTAGTTTTGAATTTCTTTTGATTTTTCGATAATGAATGATCTTCTCTTAAATTTCAATGATGGAGAGGTAGAAGAAGAAACAAATTGTATATATTGATTCCGCGTTGATAGGATGATGGATATTATAAATCAAAATGGTTTAAGAATTCACAAGTTTTGTGCTTATGACTAAATTTCACGAGTTTTAAAGTGATTTAGATATAACTTTAAATTAATATAATAGTAAAAATAATCAGATAAGTTTGTTGATATCTTGAGTAATCAGAGACGACGTCAAAGAATAATAAGTGCAACATCAACATCAACATAATTGTAAAACTGTAAACTTTCTACCTTTAGATGAAGATAAAGAAAAATGATATAGATAACACACGAATTTCATATAAATAAAAAATAATCCACATTAGCACATGTGGTTTCCATATTACCCTACTCCATCTATGATTTAACATTAAAGTGACCAAAATATAAACAAATCAAAAATTCAATGAGCAAATTGAATTGTTTTTAAACTTTAGTAACTCAAATAGGAGTGAGAAAAAATTGGGTGAAGAAATTTATAATTATATTAAAATAAAGGGTAAATTACATAAATGATCATGTAACTATGGGTCAGGTCATGAAATGACTACCATTTTCAAATTTGTGAGAACATTACCATCATGGTTTTCAGAACCGGACCGGTTAGTGAACCGGCCGTGCTACCGGTTCACTGGTTCACTGGTCAAACCGGTCAAAAGAATCGGACGACATCATAATTAATTAATTATTTAAAAATTAAATAAAAATATAAAAAAACATTTAATAAAAAAATAGTTTTTTATATAACAAGTCATATTTAAAGCAAGTTATAACATATATAAGTTAAGAACCATAAAATCAAGTGAAACAAAATGATTCAAATCAACGACAACATAATATTTAAGGTAAAACATATTAAATAATAAATATAATTATATAACTATAATTAAAAAAAATTTGGGGTTAAAAAAATCATAACAAACGATGTCGTTTGGTTTAATTTTTCTTTTTAAAAATCTCACATGGCTAAGAAATATAGAAGAACATTACAAAAGTCTAAAGAGTACAAATATGAAAACAAAACAATCCCACATGGCTAAGAAACATAAAAGAGCATCCAAACTGACTTCAATAAATAATAGAAGTAATTTGGCATTCAAAATCATGGAGCATTTTGGTGAGCACAGAACGAACTATTCTTTCGCTTCAATCGAGCTCGAATTTCAGGCTTCAATCGAGCTTCTAAATTTTTTTTGAGTTAGAGCCTTTTTGAGTTCATGTTTCAATATTATATTTCAAGTTCGAGTTGAACTTGATAATTTTTAGCTCATGAGTTTTGGAGTTAAGTTGAGCTTACTTTTAAAATTTTCAAGTTCGACTCGGCTCGTTTAACAAAAAGTTTTCAAGTTCGACTCGGCTCGTTTAACAAACGACGATGTTTGATTTAATTTATTTTTAAAAAAACAGAACTGGTTTTCAACCGGTTCACGGTCCGGTACGGTTCGAACGGTTTACAGGCGGTTTAATGGTTCCTTCCGGTTCACTAGTAGCGGTTTAACCGGTATAAAATGAACCGGACCAGACAACGATTCCCAGTTGAACTTACCGATCTGATCCGATTTTCAAAACACTAATTACCATTGAAGTATTTAAATGTGATCAAAATAACCACAAGCCGTTAGCATGCAATAATTAATTCAACAATACCATAGTACAATCATGTTTTAATCAAATTTTCAAACAGACAAACAATTAATCAAAACAACGTCATATAACACTTAACAGAGACACCTCGACAAAATAGCTAATGTTGGTCGTAGTTCCTATCATGATCAACTCGAGCAGCGGTTCAACCCGAATCAGTTCCTACAAAATAATTTAATAATTACTAAATTATTCTAAAATTAACGATAAAATTAAACGTGTTAAATTCATAAATTTACGCTCACGGTCATCACGAGCAACTCAAGTCAGTTCAAAGTTCATGGGTAACAGCAGAGGAGGCAGTAATTCCGGTTCCTAGTCAAAGTCTCCTTCAAAAATTACAACATCCGAAATTAATCCCAATAACCAACTCAGAACAAAATAATAATTTATTACGAGAATAATTTTCAGATTCGATTCGTGACACCCACAGTAGTTCGATTTGAATAAAACGGTTGTCGGTATAAAAAAATAGGTCTGACGACGTCGACAATTCGCCGGGAGCAGACTCACGGACCGGTGGACTCACGGCCAATCTTGCCATGCCCCAAAACGGCCGGCCACCACTCGACAATGGGTATCGGAACAAGACAGAACCGAAAAGTGGGTTTCCACGACCGATTAGTGCCGTTCAACCGCGAATCGGGCCACCTGGCTCTTCTCCGACGAGAACCCGACCCCTTGGTGCCCACGAAAGGCCAGAACACGGCGGCAGCGGACGATTTTCGCGAGTCGAAATCGTAACCTAACGTCGCTCAACGACGACGGGAACGATCGGGGTTCGACGGGGGACACTCGGTAGTTGGTCGGCGACCTTACCTTATCGATAGGACGGCGAAAACGGAGGCAGAACAGACGAACGACGGCAGAGCAGAAAGGGCACGAGGGTTGCTGCTAAAGTTTTTAGAAAATAAAGAGGGGGCGCCGCACAGTGTTATAATCGGGGAGAAGGAGTTTTGGTAAAACGGATCTAAACTTTCCAAATTTACAATTTGGTCACTGTTTTCCAAATTTCCAAATTTCCCAAATTCTAGGGTTTTTAATCTGGGGAAAAATTGGAGTGTTACATTTCGGTATAAACCCAGAAGTGGAATTGTTAGTCAAATCAAGCGACCGAAGCTTTGTTGCATTAAAAATGGAAAGAGGAAGAGATCCATTGAAGGAATTGTTGGAAAGATCGAGACTTTCAAGGTATTGAATCATTCCCAGATCGGAAGGGATCGAACCGAGAAGCAGACAATTCGAAAGAGTGTCGTAACACGAGAGTAGACATCAGAGTCGTTTGGTCTTCCACAAGTCACCCTGTTCCACGAACATGGCGTCTGGTCGGAGGAGTTCCACCTCTGCAACACGTTTAGTTGATCACCCAGAATAAGTAGTTTAAGAGAAAGCAAGAGAACCCCATCTGTGTTCAGTCCCAAAGCTGGAACCACAACACCAACATCCACCATAAGTTGACACTGGAAATTGATTCTTGAACTTTAGTTTCTCTCTGTCACAAAGAACAAAGGTGGGTTATGTGTTTAAAATAAAATGGGTTAACTACAGTCTTAGTTCCTGAAAGTCTAAGATTTCTGAAATCAAAAATTTTTAGAGTTTAGTGACCAAAATAGAATATAAAAAAATAGTTAAGTGATAAATGGTGTAATATACCTAACTTATAACAACAGGAATTAACGAAACGGCTGGTCTATAACAAAAAAAAGTTGATTAGAAGCCCACATTAAGTTCTTTTTTTGAGTTGGAAGATTTATTTTTTTAGGGACCTCATGTGCATCCCAGTATGAAATCCCCCCTTCCTCAATTTGATTGTTTGTTTTTTTCAATCAGAGGGTGACCCTCTGGTTAATTGAAAATAAATATATTGAATTAAAATAAATATAATCCTTCAATTGAATAGTGATACAAGGTATCATTTAATTCAATTATTTAATTTATTAATTATAAGACTAAACTGAGAGAATGTGTAAATAACAATGACCAAATATGTAATTATATCAAAATATTCAACTACCACGTCACCTAACCTGTTAACTGTTAAACAACAAGTGGTTAAGAACAATTAAATACTTTGTGGTCTAATTGATAAAACAAACAGATCGGTGGTAAAAATAAAATGACTAAATAATTAAGTGTTTAACGGTATAATTTATCCATCAATTTAAAATGGATCCGTACCTATAGTACAAATGAGAGGTTGAGGACTTGAGGTTATGAAAAATGCAAACCAATTGATCACATGGCTTTGACCTTTGAGATCAAATTGCTATTAATTTTTGACACCAAAATGAATGAAAGCTTTCATTACACAAAAAAAAAAGTTAAAATGCTTTGATGTAAAGCTCATCTCCCAACAGATCCTACCATTTCACCAAGACACTAAAGGAACAAATAGACTACATTAATGGCAAACTACAACCAATATACAACACAAATTCTATCAGATTTTCAGCTTCTAAATGCCGCAACACAATCTCAATGCCATAGTTTGGAGTTAATTCACCATGTTTGCACTCGATACATACTTGCCTAGTAACGATAACAAAGGAATCAAATCAAAACATGTGCTTGATACCGACTCGATACAAGCCACCGGACTGAAGACTCACAAAGCCCAGAATGGTTTTCTAACTACATTTACATTGGAGTTATTATTTAGGGAATCTTCGCTGCTTTCCTCGGAATCATCATCATCGTCCCAATATGTCATTAACTGCATCAACGTGTCTGAAAACAACCAAACAATTTTGGTAAGTATTATAAATTGCACAATGCAAGAAACCATTTACCAGATATAAGTCAACATCACAGAACCATTCATTACAGGAAAGCAAATTTAGAACAATAATATTTAAAGTAGCCAATTTAGGAATCAACCCTACCAGGTACAGCATCAAGTTTAGCTTTACTGTTATCTTTGTTCTTGTCATGCAATTTCCCAGGTGGTTTTGATGATGTGAACTTGGGCGGAGGCATCATGGCTTTTGGAGGTGGTGGCGGAAAGGTTTTTGGAGGTGGTGGTGGCATCCCATTGGCTGATGGATTAATCAGCTTCTTTGGAGCAGGCATAGTTGATACATTTCTCACTCCCAAGTCTCCCAATGGCTTGTTTGAATTTGAAGATTCAGATACCTGAAATGAGTTGCACAAAAACAATCCAAGCCTAATTTCTCAATAGAAGTAATATAATAGTTAATGAGAAACATCTGGAGAAAGAAGCAGGGTAAGATCTCAAGGGTACAACAGAATCTTTACAAAGGTCCTGTGTCGGGGGAAAATGACATGGAATTAGTGAGAGACCATGAGTGAGTGAGTTAATTTGACCCTTGATGTCTTCACTGAACAGATGTTAGGACCCTATAAGCCAACATTGAGCCTGGAAATTTTCAAATCAAGAACTATGGTAGTTTGTGGCTAAATGCAAAAATTAAAAAATGTCAGATGTCAAGTACAGTGTCGCTGTCTGTCGCCAAATAATGGTTGCAGTGGTACAAGTTTGTTGTCATGCATTTTTTCAATAGGAGCTTCAGCTTTAAAGTAAAATCCTAAACAAAAATGCTAAACCAAAATGACACCAAAGACCCTTTAAATGAAACTTCAGCTTGCACACTCTATAATGCTAACCAAGGAAGAGTGCAAACTGCATGATATGAAACTATACGCCCAATCAAAGAGAAAAAAAATCTTGAAGTGGTCCCTGATCATGGTTTTGAAGCAGGAAAAGTTCATCAAATTTCTCCTCTGAAACTGAAAACACTGTGAAACATAACCAATGGCCCTAACAGAGGTCCGGTATCAGCCTATTAGCTTCTTAGAATGTCAGAGAAAATACCTGGAATGATAAGCAGAGAAAGTCAGAAAACATAATTGTAAATCCAATAGCATAAATGTAAAGTACATTAACTTGCACAGGTCTCCCCTCTCTCTGTAATTTTTATTCCCATATTTAAGGGGTGAAACGGGAACTGAAGCAGGTGGGTGCATAAACATAAGGGGACAAGTACCAGCATGAATTAGCAAAATATTGCAATCATTATATCATGTATGGCCACATATGCAGACAAACCTGATTTAGGAACTACCCATGCAAAGGTCACTCGGGATTGAAATCATTAGAAAACATAAGTTCAAGAAGTAGCAAGATGGAAGCATTGTCCTTTACATTACCCACCTTATGAACTATAGCCCTAGTCAAGATTCAATTTCAACATGGAATCATGGACTATAACTTGGCCATTGAAACTCAATTACTTGGAAATGCCTCCACTCACAAATATAATTCTACTCTAAATAGAAAGCTCCCAGCCTTCCACCCATGGGCTAATAGAAGTGTATTACTTTAAATGAATTTTGAATCATGAAGTTAATTAAAATACAATTTTCTCTAAGATAAAATTTGCTCAAACTTCAAAAAGGTGTCAAAGCCATTTATCATAGTCAACACTCTCTTTCAAGAAATTGTAGTCAACATTAAATAAAAGCCATTTTCTTAGTAGAGAAGCCCAAATTCCGGAGCCCTACTGCCCGCCCAAAACAAAAATTCAGTGCAACTGAGCAGTAATGCTCTTTGACCAAAGATTTCTAAATGAATATAGTACTTACACCAGAGTGCCATGAACCATAACTTGTATACTATTTGAACCAAGAAGCCAGAATGGAGTAAGACTTAATCTTTAGCCATTATGGCACTAAAATAATATAAATTTGTATGCCTCATAGCTTCGCTTGAAGGGAAACTAAGAGAAAATGTACCGGTACCTGGTTGAGTCTTGAAGATCCCTTTGAACCAGCTGGTAACTCCTGGAACTTCCGCTTTTGTGGAGGCCGTTTCTCTTTCTCTAAGTGTAAAGTAGAACTAACACTTGATTTGGTTACTGTACTGACAGATGACATTGTAGGAACAGCCGTGCTTGCAACAGATGTTGCAGGTGCAACAGTAGATGAGATTGGTGATGATTGTCTAAGTGCTAATGCTACCTGCTGCAATGGTGTTGCTTGGGGGTATATCCCACCATATCCAATGTAGCTTGTCCCTCTAGTCACCAAAGGCTGTGGATAACCAACTGAATTTGCTTGGGTTGGCCCAGAATTAGGCAGCCCCACAGCAATCCCTTGAGAATAACCAGTAGTGACCCCAGGGACTGAAACAGGTGGAGCTGGAGCAGGAACTGGAATTGACATCAAACCAGCAGCTGAACTAGCATTTAGGTTTTGTTCGGTTGCAGAACTTTGAACTCCAGTTAACAACTGCTGTGGAGGTGGAACTGCACCATAAACCTTACTTGATGAAATCCTAAAATAGATGGAAAGAAACAGATCACTCCAATCCAAAATCACAACAACAAGACTATAAAATTACTATCACCACCCTTCAGCAAAACAGAAGCCTGGTTACCTGGATGCACCAAACTCTAGGCTGATAGTGTCCATGAGATTCTCTGCCAAACGCTTGGCATCATCAAGACTTTTAGGATTGTTACTGGACAAGAATAAGTGCAATGGTTGCTGTGTTTCTGCAACCACAAGACCAGATAAAACTATAATATTAGGAAAATAAAATCATAGAGTAACAGCATTAATTCTTAGGTTTGCCTATAATTATAAAGAAATAAGAAAAGAAGACCGGAGCTGTGTAAAACATAAAAGTACCTTCACCCTTCGGGCTCTCTGAGTTTCCAGAACCACATCCTCGTAGCGTGACAGTTGCTCCTGTTTCATTCATAATGTGATTTATATACTGGTCCTGCAAGTACAAAACCGAACCACCAGCAACACAAAAGCATGCTCCCCCAATTGCATGGAGATGTCAGAGAGAGCTTCAAACATTAGAATCTCTTATCTTTAAAGAATGAAATTAAAACTTTCAACAAACTGATTAAACAGAATACTCAAACAAGTAAATCAGTACAAGACACAAATAATAGATGTGTGCACATTAGTAAGAGGATTTGCAGTGAAAGGTTTGTTTAGGGAAGGTGAATTAGTCCACGTCCTTAACATCAGATAGCTGATTTTCATTCAACTATACAAAGATTGTATCACCACCTAATTATTGTATCACCACCTAATTATACAATCTAGTCTTAGAATAGAGGCGCAGCTACAGTTCATAGACATTTATAAGATTATATAGAACAAAAACATGACCATTAACAAGGCATAACAAAACATCAAGATAACATATGAGAGCAGCATATAACCCCTTAAAGGATTAGTGAAAGTGAAAATTTGAGGTAGATGAAAATCTCACATTTGGTCCACGAATACGTGCAGCAACATTCAGTGATGGGTCTGCATCGAATCCCAAATATACACATGTGCTCAACGCCTGAGAAACCAGGTTTCATTATAGATTTACCCTGTAATCGATTATCTAAATATCACAGCAGAATAATTCAGATTGCAGTTGAAGCATACCTTCACACCGTTCATAACAGCTTCCTTAAAAGGGGAAGCCCCTGCCTGTGAGCTCTGACCATGTTTCAACAGTTCTTCAACCATGGCAGCTGCACGATCTACTGCTAAAATTCTCTCTGCTGTTTCTTTTAACTGCAGTGATAAATGAACAAGTCTTAGTAAATCTCTTTAATAGACCAACTATTTAGTTTTTTAATGTTATTTTTTATGTCAACCACAAGCTGACAATAGAAGAAAGCATATATACAAAAGCTTTCATGAAGACAAAGCAATTTAAAAAATTTCACTATATAACCAACAAAAGGTTTGGAAAGATGAAGAAAATACACTTACATGAGCGACGGCAGATATATGAAGATAGAGAGGCTTTTCACCATCAGGTGAAGCATTTGGTGGGTGATACTTGCCCCTGCACACCAATCATGTCAAGGAATAAAAGGAAAACACGAAAAATAATTGTTCAAAAGCTTCTGCACATCCGCTTAATGAAACTTACCGAGTTATCACCACAGCACCAGTGCACCTTTGAATCTGAAAGATGACGAACTTACTCATCAAAATTTAACAAAAGAACTATATCTCCTATTTTATCAACAAAAAAACCCTTTTTTCTATATTGCTGAGCAAAGAAAAAGACATTCACCTCTTCCTGTGTCTGGCACTTTGTGAGCTTGTACCGAACAGAAGATTCCGCATCATTTATTACAATTTCTCTAGCAATAACTAATTCATCTTGGATCTTAGTCTATAAAATTGTATAAACAAAATGCAAAATTAAATAATACAAATAATTTTTTTGAAAATATACAAGTAAAAAACAGTTTAGCATGTTTATGTACAGACAAATCATTAAAAAAAAGAAAAAAATACAAATTCCCTGGCATATGACTATATGAGACTTCTTGGGATAGCCTATGACTACATTTTGATTGAATGACCAGATCAAAATTGCAAAAATTTAACCATCCAGGCAGAAATATCCATAAAAATACACTGACAGTAATTAAGGAAGGGAAGAAACAATCAATACATATCCCACTAAATATATTTAGTCCATATGCCTAAATACTAAATCCAAAAAGTAGAGCTATTTTAGTTAAGAAACCATGTATGCTCTCACAAGTCAGGACAAAGGTATATTGACTTCCCAAACTTATCAATGTAAAAAATATCATTTTAAGTACTAATGTTGTCAGTGATAAAGAGTTCAAATAGAAAAGAACTGACGCCTAAAGAAATATATTTGCAAATGACATTTTATAAGACAGAACAAACTATTGCCATAATCATCATCCTCAAGCCTCATGCAGATGTCAGGTGACAATGAATTTTTCTTTGAGCAAAGCCAGAATATATTTTCCATACTTGATTTTGTTTTGGTACCACTGGAGCAGCATGTTGTTGAAACAATGGGGTAACAGCTGCACCGCTTGCAGCAAGTATATTTGGCAGAAAGGTGCCTGGTACTGGAGATACACCAGGAGGTGGCATGCCAGAAAGAGTTCCCATATTGGTAAATGGGATAGCAAATCCAGCAGAAACAAAAGCCTCTGCAGGCTGATCCCACTTTCTCTTTTTCCTACATAGTAATCCAACCCAACTATTAAAAATTGTAACTGCAAGGCATGGCTTATTCCGCTACATAAAAATCAAACAACTACATAATGTAGAAATTCCATAATTTGTTGGGTAACAAGTATTTATGAGAGTTGCGCAAATTGAAAGGACAGATGTAGTAAAATTACTAAAAATTTAATGATAAATATTTTCAGAATGGGATTAAAAAGAACCCCCCCCCCCCCAAACCAACACACACACACATAAATGATAAGCACAGTAGATGCGATGCTCTTATGCTTGATAGTCCCGGGACAATAACTTCCTCCGACTACATTTTCTTTTGCCTCTGTAATTATCATTAAACTTATAGCTCGAATAGGCAGAAGCATTAAATACTTCAATTCGTTCAACTGGAATTGACAACATTTTCCATATTCTGAGATGACTTATAAATCTCCAATAAACCAGTCGAACCATGAAATTCAATAATTCCTTTGATTAATTCCAAAAAAAAAAAAAGAAACCAATGGGGGAATTAAGGTCTAAGAATTCAAATTTACAATAAAACAAAAAGAAATTCGATATCTTTGTCCTGTCTGTGACTCACTGTCTGTTACAACAGTCGGGTCCTTCAATGAAATCGAGTGCATGGAAAAATTAGGGTTTAAGAATTGAAATTTAAGAGAAAAAGAATAAATTATATACCTTTGTCTTGTCTGAGAAGCACCGTTGCTTACAGTGGGGTCATCGGAAGAAACCCTAGAGCCACCGTCCTCCGTCATCTCTTTCCAAAATTTTCAGAATTTCAATCAAAGAGAAGGGAACCGATGTTGTTATCTTCCAAATTTCTAATTAAAGATCGAACTTTTTTTCTTATTGTTTTAAGGGATTTGATTTCAACAGGGGCATCAGATTGGGGTTTGCGCCTTTTCTTTCAGATGCGGAGAAGGTTTGAAGCTTTCGCGCAGAATCGAAACTGTTGGGGGGCAGTGAGAGCTGATATTAATGGCGCGTTAATGTCACGTGTAATATATTATCTATGTTTATATCCGTATTTATACTACTAGAATTTATCGGTTAAATTTTTATATATAAAGATTAAATTTATTGAATTATTTTAAATTAAAATCAAACTGATAAAAGTACAAGTTTTAGAAGTTAAAACTATTATTATATGTTGAATCTATATTTTGATATAATAAAGAAGGGTAAAATGTTTGTTGGACTAAATTGAATTTATTCAAAAATTTTAAAAATAATTCAAAGTCTAAATAAATTTAAAAAATATGTTATGAATATGGTACTATACTCTGATATGTTATAAATATGTTACTATACTCTGATGTCTTTTATTAATATTTATAAGTCAATTTTAACTTCAACCACGCTATTTAATTTATTAATTCGATTAATTTATAGCGAATATTATACAAGTTCCTCTTTTTTATATTCTTATAATTATAAAAGTTTCTTTTTTGTATAAAATAAAATGCTTTTTACACCGATATCAATAGGGATGGCAACTCAACCCGAATCCGATAGGTTCCGACCCGACCCGATCGGGTCAGATTTTTTTTAAAAAAAATCGGGTCGGGTCGGGTTTTTTTTAAATGCACTGTTCGGGTCGGGTTTATGGTAAAAAAAATCCGACCCGACCCGACCCGAAAAATATATATAATTTTATCTTATATATTTAGAGATAATTACAATAATATCCCTCAATATATAATTTTTTTCAATTAAGTCACTGTTTTCATTGAATTAATTTTTTTTTTTTATTTCGGGTCGGGTCGGATCGGGTTTCTAAGTCATATATTCGGGTCGGGTCGGGTGAAACATTAATTTTGTCAGGTCGGATCGGGTCACGGGTGGAGAACCCTTTCTTCTCGGGTCGGGTGGCCCAAAAACCCGACCCGACCCATTGCCATCCCTAGATATCAATGGTTAAACTGCAATAACATAAAATAAATAATAATTACTTAAATTAAATTATGCAAATCTATAAAATAAAAAAAAAGCCACTCCACACCACTTTTCTCTACCATATAAACTACCTGACTCTCCCTGCCATTCCCTTGCTCTTCCCTTTTCTTGTTTTCCCTGCAAATGCTGATCTCCAGAACTAAAATCGCATCGTCGTTTCCTCTTTCACCGATCAAAAAACTCGACTCTTTATCAAATACAATGACTTGAATCCCCACGTCTCTTTTCAGCTCAATACATATCAGGTTTACACTTTCTTTTTGACATGTTCTCGTTTGTTCCACATGATCCAATTATGACTTATTGAGATCTTTATTGATTTGTTTGTGAAGCAATTATCAAGGCAAATATGTATATATACACATAAAATTTTGATTTTGTAAATAAGAAGGTGAGTTACTTTTTTTGTGAGAGAAATCTGTTTGCTAATTAATTTTTGTTCAGCTCCTAAAGTTTTTATTTTCTCTTGACAGGAAGAAAAATGGGTACTTTTTTATTACCAAGTTCAGCCTTTGGGATGCTTTTTCCCCAGTTCCCTGTTGTTTCTTTAGGCAGACCGCGTGGACAATTTCGTTTAGTCTTGGGAGTCTCTTCTAACAGGAAAAGGTTCTTTATTTTATGTTCAAGCTCCATTCTTTTCTGGATTAACTTATTATCAAATCATTGATGGAAGATGGTGCTGTTGCAGGAAGAATTTACTGACCGGCAACTGGCAGTGCGGACCAAGAATAATTGCTGCCTCTAATAAGGTGTGTTCACTGATGCATATTGGATTATGGTCTTTAGTTTTGTGCCAAGAAGTTGGGGGATGGATCATGAATTTTTTTAAATTTCTCTTGCAGGGTAAGTCCAATGACACTTTCACAGATGATGAGGATGGTTTTACGTCAAGGGGATTTGGAAAGTCAGGGAAGAAGAAAGACGAGTTAATCGAGACGAGACAAGCTCTTTCCGAGGCTAAGGCCAGACAAGAAGCTCTTGAAGATGAAACAGATCAATTGCTTGAAGATTTTGCTTCTTCTGAGGCTAATCAGGAAGAAAACGTGGCTTCCATTTTGCATGACAAGGAATTGGCTGTTTCCGAACTCGAGTCGGCCAAATCTCAGCTCCATAAGAAGCTGCAGGAATCAGTGGAAGAGAAATCTGCCTTGGAATCCAAGTTGGTTCTTGTGAAACAAGATGCCGTCGAACTTGCGGTACAAGTGAAAAAGTTAGCGGAGATTGCTTACGAACAGGCGACTTCTCAGGCATTAGAAGATGCGAAGCTGAGGGTTTCAGCTGCAGAAACAATGGCTGCTGAGTCAGCTTTTCAAATTGAAGACCAAATAAGAAAATCAACCGAAAGTACTATATCCTCAATTATTGAGGAATCTAGAGATGATATAAAAGGCGCACTTGATGTGGCAGAAAACGCCAGTGAGCAGGCTTCAAAGGCTATTGCAGCATTCACTGATGGTATAAATCCCATTGATGCCGTTGCTTCTGTTCAATCCAAGAACATTAAGTTACATGGTACTGTCAGTGATTTAGAAGCTCAATTATTGCTTTCAAAAACCGAGTCAGACAGGATGAAACTGGGGTTGCAACAGGCCCAAGAACAGGCACTTGCAGCCGAACTCCGAGCCAGAAATGCCAAGAAGGCGTTGCTTGAATTCCAAGAGTTGAGTACGAAAAAGGCTCTTGAGCAGAAAGAGGAGATTTGGTCTGTGTGGAGAACATAAAGAAAGAAGGAATTGCCCAAGGCTTTTAATGTCGAGATGGAAAGCATCAAGGCCGTCGTTGATGCCGCCAATGAAACAGCGACTTCAAGAGAAAACGCCTACATGAGAAGGTGTGAAGCCCTGCAGAGGTCACTGAGTACATCAGAAAGTGCTTTAAAGACGTGGATACAAAGAGCAGAGATGGCACAGTCATTGTTGTTAAAGGAGAGATCGGAAAAGGAAGACAACGAAGACAACATCTATATCATTAATGGCGGGAGGATTGACTTTTTAACTGATGATGATTAGCAGAAATGGAAACTTTTGAGTTGCGGTCCACGTAAAGAGATACCTCAGTGGATGGCAAGAAGGATATGGAGCATCCGTACCGAGTTTCCTCCTAGAAAGGCTGACATTTCTAAAGCCTTAAATTCCAAATTTAAATCCTTGACATTGCCCAAACCTAATGAGGTTTGGTCTATTGCTCAAGAAAAACTAAGAGAAGGTGATATTCTGGTTGAACATGTTATGGAAAAAGATGTTATAGAGAAGAAACGGAAAGTTTTGGAATGAGCACTTCAACGAAGAACAGTTCAATGGCAGAGAACTCAAGACGAAACAAAATTAGGTTAGTTTTCCTTTTCTTTTCCCTCATCTGTACTATTTTATCATTCTTCGTCATATCTAATTTGCACTAGAATTTGAAATTCAATGCAGAGCCAGGAACTGGTACAGGAAGAGAAATTGTGGTGAGTTGATGTTTTGATATCCTTTTTCTTGATTCATACTAACTTAAGGCCTTAAGCTTATTTGATTGAGGCTCACAAGGTTATCGGTTCTCGAACAATGACACGGATAAATTACTCCTTAAAGCAGATCACTCACAAATCTTAATTTGTTGATCTTAAAGTTTCAAGCTTTCAATTGGGAAAGTTGGAGAAGACAATGGTACCAGAAGTTAGCTATGAAAGCAGCTGATTTATCTCAATCCGGGATTACTGCAGTATGGTTGCCACCACCAACAGAATCTGTCGCGCCCCCAAGGTAAACATTGTGTTCAGCAGTACACATATCAATCAATATGTTTGCGTTGTTAAACATTGTGGACATCCATTTCGTGTTTCGCACACCGTTACAAGTTATATGGAACAACATGCAGGTTATATGCCTTCTGATCTTTACAACTTGAACTCCAAATATGGATCTGTTGAAGACCTGAAATCTTGCATAGAGGAAATGCATGCTCACGACCTTTTGGTATGTGGCGCAATTTCTGTGAATAGTGAGCCTTAGTTGTTAATGTTAGGCTCTCCTTTCTTCTTACCTCAGACATTTTCATTTTCTTTTTGCCTCAGACATTTTCATTTTCTTTGTTGGTACAAACTCTTGGAATTGAATTTCTCTATATAGTTCGTAGGACATTATTACGAAACCTCGTCTTTATCGATGCAGATACAAGTGTGTATGCAGGCATGATACTAAATGTGTTACCTATGTATGCAGGCGTTGGGAGATGTCATGCTTAACCATCGATGCGTGCATAAACAGGTTGCTCCAGCCGCCTGCCCTGATTTTCTTGTCTCATTTTTACCTTTTGTGACTAATTTCATATCAAACTATGGAATCACTGATCTTATTTTCAAGGCTGAAAGTGCAACATGAACTTTAACAAGTGTATTCCAGGGATGTATTTAAATAATTTTTTGCTCATTTCAGAGTCCAAATGGTGTCTGGAATATTTTCGTCGGCAAGCTTGCTTGGGGACCGGAAGCTATTGTTTGTGATGATCCGAATTTCCAGAGGCGTGAAAATCCTTCAAGTGGTATGTATACGATAAGGTGGTGGGTTCATAGTTTCTTTTCAGTCCTATTCATTTGGTCAAAATCTCAGTGGCTACCAGGAACAGGTCTAAATTTATGTGAGCTATGGCAATGGCATTTTGACAATGTGCTGACTAGCTATATCAACCATTGTTCTTGACTGTAATTTCCGAATATTAAGTTAATTAACAACAGAACTTCCTGTAAACTTAACTGATTAAGTGTTATGTTTAGGTGATATCTTCCATGCGGCACCAAATGTTGATCATTCGCAGGACTTTGTGCCAAGAGATATAAAGGAATTTTTGAACTGGCTCGAGATTGGTTATGACGGTTGGCGGCTTGACTTTGTGAGGTGAAGCCTTTTTCTCGTTACATGTCTTTCTTTTACGTACAATTATTAATGCTACAACGAAAAATATAAAAGGATACTATCTACGATCTTCTTCACCGACAGTAAAATTTGTCCAAAACTTAGAATAATAGTCGTAAACATTAGAGTTTCCAGTT